AACTCACTCCAGAACCTTCCATATTGTGCGCCGTTTTCGGACTTTGAGGATGTAGTCTTCTAAACTAAAAAATAATCAGTCAATGTCATGATTCTATCGAATCAAATAGAGCTGTGTAGAACAACGTGTATGTTTTCATCGAATGCTGATTAAGTGTGATACGATTAGTTGAGTGAAGCAGAGCAACTTGTTGAAGAAAATAAACGTTCATGATGTGTCTGTCATTTGATATTGAAACAGGCTTTCCTAAATCAACATTGATGAAAACATTCACAGCATTTAACGCTTGAATATTCAACCTTTCGCGAAAACTTCAAAATCCTAGCATAAACTTTACTAGAACCCTGCTTATTATCATGACCAAGAATTTTAATTCTGGATCTGTATTCGTACCCACGTTGTTCATGTTTCAGTATTCAAACTGGAACTTTGCGAAAATGTGGATTGTATATCATTGGATCACACAAGTAATATCAGTTTCTTCAGAAGTGAAGGTATATTACGCTTGACGATACCAATCACCATGAAAACTACAAGCACCGAACATTGTTCAACACTACCAAAATATCTCTTCAAAACCATCAATTATATGTATGAATTTGAAGTTACTGTTGCAGACATTGCCGACAGTCTATATCAATATTTCTCTACAAATGCTTTCTCCCGGAGATATTCATTTAGACCTTGTTGCAAAATTACGACACACTCAATAACCAAGTCATATATCAAAATGTATTTTTTCTTCTTTAATATCCAATCGATTCCGTAAAACGATGATATTGTTGTGTCAGTTATTATATTAAGCCCAAATGCTTTATTCCAACTTTCTGACAGCTGAACCTATTCATACTACTTGAGTCATATTTTGACCTTGTTAACTGCTCGCTTATCAATCTTGACTTTTCATATGAGCGCATATGTGTGTACACCTCATATCCCATGTCTCTTCACATTTCAGTAGTTTATTTTGTCTGCCCATCAATATTGAGTAAGCCTTTCTAAAAATGAGTTGGCTTACAAGTCATCTCCACTGTGCGTCATTTTGCTTTTTTCTATTAAATTCACATTATATAAAAAGTATATGTATTCAAAGGTCATCCCCGGTAATCGACTTATCTAAATTCCGTTATTGACTAACGCAATTAAAGTCGATGATTGTAAACGAGGGTAGAAGATAACGAGCAGTTTTGCGACTTACATGGAGTCAGATATGCGAGCCTCTAAAATATACAACTTCCATCAATATATAAAACGATTGTCAGAACATTATGTAGATTTCGTCAACAAGACGATAGACAAAAGTCTCATAGTCAATACACATGAAACATTTTGATTAGCCCAGTCGAAAACCATCGCGCATATATACGATACATCCATAGATTAATATAAAGATAACGTATAAATTGGATAGTTCTCTAAGAAAACGAAAACTAAACTCATTTGAAATAAGAAGTTATGGGCTACAGTGTTCATTCACAGCTGAAACTTCACCTTCTATGAATTGGAATGCAAACTATTTTTTGTTTTCACTTCACTTCGTTTTCACATAAAAGTGGTACCATTTTTATAATGAATATTTAATTGATCTGTCTTCCGTGTGCGTAGGTGACTGACGGTCTTATTAACACCTAATTAGAAAGCGACATTGTTTGTTCCGACTACGATCCATATTAGGCTGCTTATACAAAAGAGAATACCATAAAATTTGAATAATCAGAAAGATTGTGGTGATAAACAATAATTATTATTTCTGCGATAAAACAGCTAAGGTCAACAGACAGTTATATTCGCAGATCACGCCCTCAGATAATGCTCACTAATATTGTCATTATTGTTACCTTCAGAAAAGTATTTCTCATGCCACAAGGCTCATAATTTAAGATGAGATTAAATAAATATGATATTTTCGTGCAATATATAAAATCATATTCCTGACTGAATTCTCTAGATGCAGTCTTCATTTTGAACAGTTTTGCGGGGAAAACAGAAGCACATGTGGTGTTCAGGTCAAACAAATAGGGTTCATTGACAATAATATGTTCCTGTTTGGCAGTGCTGTCTTCTGAATGAATTCAACTATTCTGTCTAGTGGCGAAACAGAATATGGTTAAGCGTGAAGTAGAGATGTGAAAGATGAGAATTTACATGACCAGAATAAGCAAGAAAAATGCAAACAACTAAAACAGCGAACAATCGATGACTGATAATGTGGAATAAAAATCACCTATTACCACTGTCAACTGACATACGTTTGTCGGATTCAATTCTGTCATGGGTACATAAGCTGATGGATGATCATTGACGTGGCTCAAAAACCTAGTTGATTTTGAGACTTTCATGCATGAGTTTCTTGTCATAGAAAACAGTTAGGAATGCTGAATACATTGTGGTTGTCAGGGATCTGGAAAGTCCATTGTGTAAAATCCCAGAAGGAATATCTTCCTTGAATTTCGTGTTCATGTGCAAATAATTCTTTGAAATATACATGGCATTCTGGTTTCAGATTACCGCGAACAAATGAGATTGATTGGAAGTCATGCTCCAAAAGTGTATGTCGGATTATATTCACCTCATCATCAGTTTTGTCTTCAGTGCATATTTGTTTGGCTCTCGAGGATAAAGAATGGATAAAAGTACACATTCTACTCAGATCACTAAAATCTGCAAGTTTTAATTCACCCCGTTACACTACATTTGCATTGAGCTCAACTTGAATACGTTTCACTTTATTTGATAATTTTGTGAAACACCTATATTTCACCACAGATAACTACTACTAACATTAATTTTACTCAGAGTTCAATAGAAATTTAGCAGAGTAATGTTGTTAGAGATTTGATATACAGTAAAGCGTGGGCAAACTGTTCTTTCTATTCATACAACCCTCTGTTTATACTGGCAAAAAAGCACACAACGCCATGAATTGGAAGCAAACATAAAAACGAATTAACAGGGTCTGGAAACAACTGAACAAAATTGTATTCAACAGCGTTGGATGGAGAATGCTGATTGTTGAGTTATGTTTCCTCGCAATGAGTATCAGGCATAAATAAGTAATTGATAAATACAAGTAAACTTACAGAGAATGTTCATTTTGTTCATCTGTTTAATTTTCTTGATAAAATTAAGATGAAGTACAGTCAAATAATAATCTAGAATTTTTCGCATGATATTACAATGAACATTTTACGTCATATCAAATCCCGTATACTCACACTTAATACTCCTTACATTTTTCATAATTGTCGAAAGTGGTGATCATTACAATTGAGAGCTTACTTGGATTCGATATTGAAATAGGCGCATACTGATAATAAGCAAATGTCTTTCATTCAAAAGCCCGTCAAAGGATAACGGAAAATATTAAGGAGTAATAAGTTATAGGAAGTAATTGATTATTTATGAGCACAACTACTAATTTACATTATGACAGGTAACAATTAATACAACATCAAACGATGTATGGAAGTAATTCATCGAAATACACAAATATAAATCAGTCTTCTTCTTCTTCTACTAGTTATGTGTTAAGCATTTTATTAGTTTTCACATACATTGATCACTGTTATATTTACATATCTGTGTCTACAACAACAAACACTTCTCAATCATTAACATTTCACTTTCAATCAAATGTATTGTCCTTCCTTGATTACAACCATTGAACACTTCAATCTACATAAGTCAACACTTTCAGTTTCACTTAACCATGATCATTGGAAAAATGTTCTCATTTGATCTGAACCTCTATTATCAGTCACTCTTATAGTGTTGCGTGCTATTTATATTGACAAAAGTAGTGTATAACGCGAGTCAGGAATGTAGCGTCTGGCAGGTCGAATTTGAGAAGTTCATTAAGGACGAACAAAATTAAGAAGCAATTTGTATTTAAATGCAAGAACAATGAAGTCCAAGACAATTATTGAACATTTTTTAATTGAAGTATTATAGTATGATTTTTGTATTTATGTATGTAACTTTGTAATAATATTCTAGATATAGTTAGCTTGTCTTCTCATGTGTTCTCCTTCAATTCAGTACATTATGATGGACAAACCGTATGCATGTGTCTTTTTTCGGATGTTTAAATTCCATATTAATCGACGATGAAATCTTATGACAGAATTTCGTATTAAAATAAACTTCAGATATATAAATGTATATTTCGACATGTAATGGAACGTTTGTGCTACTTTATAGTGACATTAGACCATTAAAACACATTCCGCAAAGCTGAACACGAGACTACTCGGAAAATAGATAATCAATACTTAACATGGCTAAATACCTAACGATGGAGGATGAGGGAACAAGGAGTTGAATTAATTGGAGTTGATCGAATGACATGGTTCGGCCTTGCAGTCGTGGTCCTTGTTGAATCTTATCTTACATCTTTTATTCAAATTAAAAAATTGTTCTATCTCTAGCCTAAGCTTGTTCTACATCATGTATTGATGATTGTTTCGATACGATGAGTTGGTGTAGACCAAAGTATGACTTCTACGTAAGATCTTATATATTAGGGGGTTATGTCATATCAAGTCTTCAATCTTAAGATTTGGTCTATTATTAGAGCAACACTTGTATCATAGCACACTATAGTTCTACAACTTTGACTTTTCCCGATCAACTCGAATGATTGGATCATTGACAAATAAATTCACATATTAATACGACAGACTGCTTTTTTGTGAGTATATGAGAGCATATTTTCTTCTATCAATTAATCGATGACCATTTTACACACATCAAAGTGAGATTCCATCAAAAAAGATCAATATTTTAAACCAACGGTTGATGAATATCAGCTCACGTTCCCAACAGCCAGAAAATTATTGAATAATGATGAATTCATTCATCATTAAGATTGGTTAAAAATTAACATAGAACTTTATCAAATTCCGTCTTCTTAATGGTCGCTTTGAATCATTCAATTAGAAAGATACAACCAAACACTTCAAAAGTTTATATAAGCCTGAAAATTTCAATTTAATTTGATTTACTACCTTCAAGGAGAAGATGAGGTGAGTGTTGGCTGAACAAACGATGTAAATGAATATTTTATACAAATTGAAATTGGATTCAATGAAATACTGTTGTTTTCTTTACCTGAATCATTTTAGACACAATTTTTCATTCGGTCTTTCGATATCACTTTATTTGTTCATCGTGTTGCTTCACAACTTCCTTGACTGCCAAGATCTCTGTGAACAATCTCAATTACTACTTGATGAGAAAGTAGTTCGTGAAACCAGTTCATATAAATATGTATGTTCTTAATCTGCTTCTAATACACGTATTCAGTCTTATAATAATTATTATGCACAGAGGATTCGCCTAAATCAGCCCCATCCAGTTATAAATGGCAATTTTGAAAAAATTCTAAATAATCAAGTGAGTTGACCACATTATGTAACGAATGTGTATATTTTCAGGTAGGTTTACCAACATTCCCGTTTCGTTATTACGGCAATTACATCAATCATATTATTATTTCCGATAGTAAGTAAATAATTTTCTTTGAACCACGAATTTTACTGTTTTCTTAATCACATTTCATACCCTGAATCAAAGTTGATTCAATTTCTTTAATTCATTAGTTTTATGCAACTTCTGTGAATCTCCTTTCATGTTCGATTTGTCAATAGTATGAGGCCTTAAAGCAATCCAGATATAGTCCATGCATTTTGTTCTAGTTTTCAGTTTATTTCAAAATATTTTATTTATTCAATGTAAAATTGTCAATCAAATTGTATGTTTTGATTAAATAAACACAGATGAAATAAAAATGCGCAAAGAAAAGGAATTCGGAAAAATTTCAAATCATATAGCAGGCATTGTATATTCCGATTTCGAGGTTTTGGGAGGAAGTAAGTCCGTACATTATTCAGTAGTAGTATGTTGAACTTTTTTCTCACATTGATTTTGCTGAAGTGATCCAGTATTTCATTTGATTTATACACGGGAGTTTACCAGTACACAGTGATTGTTTTGTTAGTGTAATTGTTGAAGGAGAATGCGTATGTCACAGCACGTATGAATTACTGTCAAGTGAAAATAATGAATAAAACAGTGATTCACCTCAAGTTAAACATACAATGATTGAGTATCGGTGATAAACTAATTTATTTAGTACAGGACTATCTACTCAGACAAGAACAGTTAGAACATCAAGTTAACATATATTCATTTCGGTCAGTTATCAAAATTAATGGATCACAGAATCTCGAAAAATGATTTTTCATATGAAGTGTTGAAGTTCTCTTACCCATTTTTCTCAGTTGATTGTAGTAAAACGTTGTCATATATTTGAATTGAAGTTCCTTTTGAAAATTTCGCATGAAAGGTTATTGAACATTTGATTAGACCGGTACTTTCAAATCTCGGAATGAAGTTGATAGCTTGCATGCAAAAGCAAACCATGTTTAGAGATATATATAGTTTAAGAAATAGAAATAGAAATAGCTATTTTGATTTTCACTATTTTAGATGAATACAACGCAGTCAGAATGTCTTTTGAAGGAAAAATTAACGATACACGTAAGTAGAATATGAGTATACGTCTAACCACTTGTGAAATCTTGACAGTTACACCTTTACTCATTGTGATTAGTCACGGTTTGTGTGACACAGCTCGTTTTAAATATTGAAAAAGTAATAATTTGTTACCTTTCACGGAAGTGAGAGTAGATTAATATGTGGAATTGACTCACCATTCGATAAGGTTGATTAAGACTTGGAGAACAGATGGCATGATCTGGATAATACTAAATTTGAAGAGTAACAAATAGATCACTATAAATAATATGTCAGTATTTTATTTCACCTGTAGAAAAACGAATACAGAGATTTATTTTCATTTACAGATCACAGTTTTACTTGCTGAGATGTATGATTTTCAAAATAAATGAATTGTGCTCGTCACAAAGCACTTTCTGTATACAGCACATTCATCTACACATCCATCCATTGTATAGTCATCCCCAAATATTATTTATTCAGATTAAGAAGTTGTTAACACGCTATATGTGAAGTTACTCGTTTCTCATCTACTACAAACGAACACTATGGTTAGTGTCAGTTGATCGATTGAAATGTCCATAGTTTACGGAACAAAATAAATTCTTGAGTTTCATTTAAAACCAACACTTCGTACCACAGGTCATATTTTCTAAGAGTTGACTGCTACAAGAGTCATTAAATAGAATATTGTAATAATGTGACTACCTCTCCGACTATCAGATCCTATTGGGAAACTTGACGATTTGTTATTTCAATAACAATACAGCAGTAATACAGCTTCAGATACCAGGCGTTATACATTAGTTTTCAAGGTTGCATCCTCGTTTAATTCACATGTCGCTCACTTCGCTGTATTTATTATGAATCCAACTAAAGGAAGCATTTGAGATAACATGGCAAATATCCATCGAAATCTGATCACTTTGTAAGTTGTCATATACAGTGTTACACCCAACAATAACTTGCTTATTGTTTTTCACTTAAATTCTAATATCGATAGTCTTTCAATTGTAGAGATTGTAGCCAAGATAACCAATTTGATATATCCGAGTGGGAGAATATCTATCTATTATGAGAACGTAAGTTGCACAATAGGATGGATATATATTTTCATGTCAAGTACTTTAGATTGTTCCAGTATTTCGTGTTTAAGAATACTGTCAAGTTACCTTGAGCATGACCGAACGAGACCAACATTCTGTAATGTGCAAACAGACAACATCACACTATTACTAACCCCTCAATGACACACTTTATTCAAGCAGTTGGTAAAAACAGTGAATATTTAAAGGTGAACTGTTATCAAACTAAACAAGGAAGCATTATCGCGAATTCGCAACAAACAGTGTTTGATACAGTACTTTACAGTAAAGCACATATTATGTCAAGCTTTATTTCAACATCTGTTCCAAACGTTCTCCGTTGAATATTTTGATTGCGGAATCCTTGCAATTATTCACAATCACATTTAATTTCTACAGACCTAGATATTCATCTCACAGTGTGTCGTCACGTTCTATGTTATGTAGATAGTTCATCAAACTTCATTGAATTCTGAATATTCATGCATGTTCGACAAAAAAGAATTCTAAAGAGAGAATATCAGTATGCTTACCATAAGTGTTATCACTTGTTTGTGAATAAGATAATCAGAGATATTACACATCATTTCGATGATTACTTGGCTTTATTGTGTTGACAAAATTTGAATATGACTTCCAATATTCCATTTCAGATTTCTATGGAAATTGAGGAGAGCAAACGACAATCGAAAATCAGCCATACATTTGTGTGTGGATCAAGTAAGGAATATTTCTACAAATAGTGTTAAGATTTTGATAAGTTACTTACAGTTTACATTAATCATGTCACAAAAATGACTTGTCTTTTTCGAGTAATTTCGTCATGTTTTTTTCTCAACTTTCTGTGATAAACTCCATGGATAATGGTTTTCACGATCCACATATTCTGACGCTCAGGTAACCATATATTTAGAACAAAACAATAAGGTGTATGAATGACTTCATCGCAAAGATTTTGGTGGCTACTTGGAGACGTCTCACGACAGGGATATGTGAATGACGATAAGGAGCAGACCATATTTCCATTCATTTTTTCGCAAACTCACACACCTGACGATGTTACAAGCATTGTGCGCACAAATAGACGTGACTAACAGTCGACTCAATCAAAGTCCAAAATATAAGTTCAAAGATTTAATAAAAAAATACAATAATGAGTCAAAACTTTACTCGACTGCACAAGTCAGTGTATATCTGGACTGAGTAGCTAAGTGTTTGACGGAACGGCTTTCGGAGCAAATGTTGCTGGGTTCAAGTACCAGAGTGTATATCCACTCTGAAGTGCAAGTATATCCAGCTGATTAAATGCGAGTCTGCATCTGCACTGCGAGCCACCATTGTTTTCTTGTTTGTAAATTTCTATGTTGATTATTAGCATTAGAAGTGTGAAATATTATGTAACGAATTAAACACATTTTTCGCAAATGTTGCTCTAACTTCTTCGTAAAATTACCCGGAAATTTGCCGATTTCATTTTTCACTTACTTGTTGAATAATAATCATTTTTGGAACTCAGATCGACGTTAACCATAATATTTGGGGATATCGAATGATCAGCGTTATGTTTGTTAAAAGAATTTCTCAGTTTCTTATTTCGACCGCTCCTTAAATGGTGCGAACGTCTTGTTATACTTTTATGTATCTTTTACCGTTCGATTTATCCTAGAAGATAATACAGAACATGAAATAATTGTACCTGGAAAGTGGATCGAATCTAGCACGTTGGTGGAGTATGAAGTCGTTGGGAGTATGTTATACATTATTTGGCCAGTATAAAACATTTTTACACGTGAATACATCACTTTTGTCTCGTGAAATTAGAAATTCCATGTGCAAATTTTGTCAGCCAAAAAATGATATCCAGGCATTTGACTCAATTGTCGTTTTACTTACCATCAACCACTACACGTCGTTTCATTGTTGAATATTAAAAATGATGAAACGCCCATTTTAAATTAATATTGAAGTCTTCACCTTGATTAAATACCTAAACACATAGTCAAGAAGCGATGGATGAGATGATATTAGTCTTGATAAAGATTAAGTGTCAGTTAGTTGAGTGTGTACATGAGAAGTCGAATTATTTTGGGACTTATGAATTGCGATAACACCACATGTAAATGAGATTACACTCAAAACGATCACCTAATTTCGGAAATCTCCTTTATGTCATACATATTCAATAAAATGCATGTATAGACGAATCACGTCTCCAAATCGCATTATTTCAGAATCTATCACAACTTTCACGGCATAAAAATGCGTTGTTTTACATGAATGTGAACACTGAGTAACTAAAAGTACCGAAGGAATTATTCTATAATCTAATGAAGAGATCGCTTTAATATTCGTCGAATAAAATGTTATTTTTATCATCGATGAATTTCCATTGATTCAACTGGCCTGCAGTGTTAACTGACAGTCCAGAATACAGCCACATACTAACATAGTAGGTCAACTGAAATCTGTTCAAGAAAGATGTCATTGATGACTGAAAACGCAGTGTCACTGTTTCTTAGTTATTCTAATGAATTAACATAGTTGAAAATGAATTTAAACTCTAATAGCAACTGACTTTCATGGAATGAATTCAATAGGAAACCTGATATCATGAGAAGAAACTGTGCGACTATCAAAAATTCAATTCAACACGCTTTGACAGCATCGTGTGGACATGCCTGAATGGTAGCACTTATTGCAATCCTTCAGACTCACTCGTCGCGCTTCATCGTTCATTTGCTGCAGTTCCATCCAATTCAATTATGATGTCGTGAAATATGAGAGAATTTGAAAGTGCGTTGTATATTTTGCATTATGCATCATGATAACAATTTTCCAGGGAATGAACTAGTCGCTTAATTCAGAAATTTCCAAATATCATTGAGTTATTGTTACATGTTTTGTATTTTACTTACATTTTGTTTGGTAATTTAAATTTAAGTCACCTTATTCTTCTCATAGAAATTTGTTCAACGTACAATTCGATTAACGCATGCCAAAACTCCAAAACGTCAAATGCAGCTTGTATTTGGTGTGAAAGAATCAACGTGTGCATTGATAGTAATGATGAGGATACTAATGACTTGAAAATAAATGACTGCCGTATCGAGGTTAGTGCTTGGTAAATTTCACATGTCGTTTTCAATATCTCTGAAATTCACATTCTGTTTAAATGGGTTTACTCGATAGAATATATTGTTGCTACAAACGAGATCGAACGTGATTGTAATGCTTTCTCTTCATGGAAACAGTAAACATGTGATCAAAGCGTCTCTTGCTATCAGTCATTGAAATCACAATAATTTTTCAGATCATCGAATATGTGGTTATCTGATAAATCCAATATGAAAGCATATATATCTGCGGATTAATACAAAATACCGATGAAACGAGTTTGAATAAAGAAGTGTAATTTACTGAAAAATGTTTGTCATAGTTGTTCCCCGTTGTTGAAGACCACGACAAGAATTTCGGATTCTCTGTTGTAAAATATGTCATGTAAATGGATTGCTTGAATAAAATCGTACATTAAATCTATATTGGTTTACATTTGGACTGTGATTAGACGTAACATCCAGATCACGGATTTCGTCACACAAATGACTCGTCACATTGTAGTAGGTTAGTGCGTACTTAATAAAACGTTTGTCAGATTAGTAGATGTTTTAAGTGAAAGTACAAATGCGAATTGTGCAACAATGCGTGTGAATTCTCTTCCATCATTCCTGATGAAAATAATGTATGATGAGTAATTGATTAGTTGTATAATATTTGATGTTTTGTAATGTATGCTACTGTCTCCTGTATTCGGGAGAGCACTGATATTACCGATCCGAGTAAGCCAATACCCATCAATCACACTGAAAATACAATGAGGATCAACGAATTTCTACCATAGAAGCTGATCAATACTTAGTAAATATGTGATGTTCAGTGATAAATACCACTATTTTGTTTTCTTTAGAAAGTGATTGCTGATGTTCATGAAGAAACTAAACAGAACAAATCATCTCTGTACCTATATGTCATCATACCTCTAGCCATTTGTCTCTGCCTTCTATGTATCGGTTTTCTTATTGGGATGGGATTTCGTAGACGACAAAGAAGTTATGAATGATTCCCAGAAACGTCCAATAACTTATTCTTATTATTCTGATCAAGCTGTTTTTCACTGGAAAACTTTAGATTTAATTCTTTGTTTCAATAATTTGGAGAATTTTTATATGAAACTGTTTACTTTCTTATGCTTGTTCACGTAATCACTGATGTAATCTGGTTCATAAAGTAACAAATATGGTTTTCAATTTTTGCATAATTATGTTCATTAAATAGAAACTGAAATGTTTCCTGAGAGTTCTATGACGTTTTATTTGTAAATTAGTAGTATTGTGTATACGTGGTCTTCCGATAACTGTCATCATTCGTAATTCCGTTGGGTATGTCTATTTCGATGAAGTCTTAGTAATGGAAAATGTCATTTTGGATCAACTGTGGTCATTGTTTTAAAATGAATTTTCGAAAACCTTATTAAGACATAATCAGGGCACTAAGGCTTGAATAGCAATGAATGCTACTAACAAATATGAATATAAGAAATAAGCATCAAACAAATAACTACCAGCAGAAGAGAGGTGAATATGCAAATATTTGTTGAATTGGGTGTGTGAAAAGCTCCGAGGTGTATTAAGACCTATCATGTTTTGACAAGTTCTATTCCTTACACAAAAATTTTTCGAACCACTTTCAGGAATAAGAACTTGAATTTTAATGAGCCGAAATTACGCTGAAAATTATTTGATTTTGAAAAGTGTCGAAATCGTTATTGGGTCTTCATTAAACGAATATAGTCTTACCTTCATTAGGTCTGATCACTCTTATCGTCAAGAAGCATTCGGTTCAAAAGGATGATTTTGTGTCATAACAATTTGCCATTGGCGATTGTCTCAGTGTGTTTAGATAAATGATAAACATCTTCTGAATGTCTGTACCTCATATTTCATTAATAACGTGATCCAACTTAGTTCAGTCTAAATAATTACATGGAATAACCAACATGAGAAAGAAAGCTTCTGTTGTCAAAATGCCACTTACACCTGAATTTTAATGAATAATAGGACTTATTTGTGATAAACCCGTTCTTTGGATTAATCTCTGCATATATGTATCGAGGAGACCAACAAAGATTGGTCGATCCGTCTATAATCATTATCTGAGCAGACGTTAAGGAAATACTAGGTTATCCACAATAAATTAATCTATTCCACTGTTGAATCCACAATAACCCTAAAACAAATCCTCAATTAGTTATAACAATACTCTTCGCGCAGTCTATTATGTGGAACAACCACTCTCAGGTTAAACAGCGTTTACTGCTTAATAACTTCATATTGAAACTCACAACTTGGGAATGCACACTAGTTTCTAAATGAAATTTCGTCGAAATGAACCATTTATTTATTGAACAGAATACTTTTCGTGTTTCGTTTCACCAACTCATTATGCTATTCCTTGATTCTAGACGGAGTAAAGAATATCCAGGCGTACGTTCTCTGTTTTCGTGACACAGAAGATGAACGTGCAACTGACTCTCTGATATACGTTCTGAATTAGTTCACAAATAATAACGCGAAAACAGTATTCCTAGCAGCCCAACTGAATAAGTCTGAAAACAAATTTACACTTTAACGGATGTTTCATCTACTGCACTGTCACATACACTTGTGCCACTGTGACCTATATCATTGTTTATGGACTTCAAAGTGCTCCTTTAATTTCAGTGCGCGTCATCATATAATATTTAAATTACGGGGGTACTGAATAAAATACCAGTGGAGGTCACTCATGTGATGATTACTTCATAACAACAGTAATGACACTCTAATTGTCACACTGAGTTCATACTCTCGGCAAAATAATAATAGTAAATATAACCCAGGTTCATGTCGAGATATCATTCCACTATCTGCACACGTACACAACTAACTTGAAAATAATGATCATTGAAAGGATGTTGGTTCTCTCCCTATCAAGTTTCTAATAGCGTTTCTTTAAAATATAGACAATGCAAACATAAACGTGTTGTACGATGTTCAGATTAAGGAGAACTTGTTGCGAGCAATGGTCTTCTAGTTGTCACAGATATATAATTTACTGAATCACTAGTTCGTTTCTGAAACCATTTGCACACCTGAAAGAACATAAAAACATCTTGCGTTTAATGAGTTGTCATAATTTCTTATCATACCCGCAGAAAATGAATTCAAATTTGCTGCACAAGGAACTACGAAGTTCAACCACTAATTACTAATAACTTGAAAGTGTAAAATCAACTTCCTCCTCTCGGTCAATGTGTTGAAGCACCTCAAAATACACATATACCATGAATGGTAAGTAGTGACTGTAGAGCAACCTCAATGCTTCTCAGTAGTAATCATGTGAATAGTGACACAAACCCTCATAAACTCGGCTTCAAGTTCATATACATTAGTAGTCCCTTCTGAAAATCTAATTCATTCTCTTATCTACATACCAGTAGAATCACGATTTCATTTTACGTCGCTTCAACGTCTTTTTTCATCTAAACGCGTTCCGATATTTAAAAGATTCACTTGTTCTTCAATTCCATTATATGATACAGTCGAATGTTTACCACAACTTAATATAGAAAAAGTCGTATTTCAAGTCCAGATATTTTAATGTGACTATTGAAAACGAATGGACACGAAATCTGATGATGCATTTGCTAACTCCAAACGAAATTCGAGACCTGGATGATGTGATCTCGATTTTTTACTTTTCCTAAAGTTTGTCAGTCTGTCTTGACAAGATGGGCCAAAGAGACCTTTTGCCGTTTTAGTCCTTCGTCGATGGAACAGCACAATCACAAATACCAAACACTCTCAGAATTCGGCCACACTGTCATTCATAATCAAGTGTTATACTGCATCTTCAAACAGACATCTATATGGAAAGAAACAAGTCATTGAAATAATGAAACATCATTCCGATCATCTTATTCAAAGACGACTTATCAAAGTTGCAGTGATTATTATGATAATATAGGTAAAATTTGAAGAACGTTTTATTTCAGGATGACTAAAACTTTGTTCTCATCGATAAAAGACAGGACTCTTCTTATTAACCAACCTATCACACCTTTCCATTCATCCACATTCATTTGTTTAACAGTCTGCACATTAAAATGTGCTATTGGAGTTGAAGTCTATGTACTGGGAAGATAAGTTTCACCTACATATTTGGGTTTAACTCCTTCTGTTATGTGAAGCTATGTCGGTGTTATGATACAGATAAAAGATGAGGTGATTCGATGTAAGGAATCAACTTGTAGTCATTGGAATAATCAAACAAATGATGTGCATGGAAAGCATGGTCGAAGAACATCATTAAGCCAGTGCAGTTAATAAAAATAATAATAATAACGTTAATACTGACATGATTGTTTAATCCGACAGTTTTCTTGAACGTTCTGGCTAACAGAATGATGGGCACAAAATGAATAGTAAAGGAATTCAGTTTAATCTGTGTACTGTATCATAACCACAATAGAAATGTCAATAACGTTAATACTAATGATTTTTTATTGTCTGTTGGTACAGTACAAGTACAAATGGTATTGATTACAAAGTAAATAACAATAAGGAAAATGTTGTGTGAAATTATTGTGCGATGAGAAGGCTGTGTCAAGATGTTCTTGTTGAGAATTTAATATGGAGTGTGAGAGCAGAATATGTAAATGTGATAAGAGACAGGATAGACATTTGTGGTGGTAGAAATAGGGTAAAAGTGGTCAGCGAAAACCAGTCAACGTCTGATCCCGAATATAATACACCACAGTGTTTTGGAGATATGTTGGCATCATTATAGATTTGATTCACAGAGTCATAAAAGTCAGAACACTTCTGCAAACGTCCGAGCACTTGTTGACTGTTTCGTCCTTGTATGTAACTCAGCAAATTCACGACAACGACAATGCACAACTTTTCCTTCGGTCTTTTTTTGTGGGCTCTTAATTCCTATATCATAGAGACGGCTGCCATATATTTCGATGTGGAACCTTGATCAGTTTACAAATTTACACGACCTTCATCCATTGCTTACGGTCCATAACTGTTCCACATCCGATGTCATTGTAATACAGTAGACGGAATTTTCATTGGAACTCTACCAATAGCACTTTGCGAATGAGAGATATTGGAAACATTTACACGGAAATTAATCCCGACGATTTTTTGGCAAGAGTTGGCGAACTGATAGCTGAATTCAATATCTCTGCAAGCTGTTTCTTACTTATCCGGATTGGAATTATTCCGTCTTAAAAGAATTCTTTCTACTTCAGTAGTTCTTCAACGAAGACCAAACGATTCTCCGTACTTATTACCAATATGCGCCTATTTCGAAATCGAACCCAAGAAAGCTCTCAATTACAATGATCACCACTTTCGACAATTATGAAAAATGTAAGGAGTATTAAGTGTGGATAAACGGGATTCCATATGACGTATAATGCTCATTGTAATATCATGCGAAAAATTCTAGATTATTATTTGACTGTACTTGATCTTAATTTTATCAAGAAAATTGAACAGATGGACAAAATGAACATTCTCTGTAAGTTTACTTGTATTTATGATTTACTTATTTATGCCTGATACTCATCGCGAGCAAACATAACTCAACAATCAGCATTCTCCATCAAACATTGTTCAAGTCAATCCTTCTTAGTTATTTCCAGTTGCTGTTAATTCTTTTTTATGTTCGTTTTTTGGTCTTTCATTTTGTTGTTGCCCTCCAGGATTTCAAGTTAGCCCCGGCGTTGTGATGCAGTTTGACGATTTCAGCTATATATATCATATTCATCTTCAATGTCATTTCTCAATGTTTTCGTCGTGTGAAAGCTGGTTTTCTCTCACGCGTGGTAGGCTGTTGCTGATGATATCCGACCAACGAGCAACGAGTGTCTTGCGTGGATAATTAGACTGATATGATGACGATCAGGGTGGAAGAATGGGTTGATAACATTAAACGTTTACAGAAATAAATGTATATGAGGTGTGGGGAGGCAACATGCTGATTTAACTTGATTTAAACATGAGCGTTTTGCTATTGATTGAAAAAAATCTCTGAAAAAGCAAAGAATAATTGAACACTTCTGTAATTGAAAGGAGTTATCGGCCAATGATGTTAATTGATTCTGACCTAAGACAACACGATGATTTATTTCCTCTATTTGAAATCAGTTGAGTTAAATATTTCCCAGCAACAACAACTCTTTACCTACACTAAATCAATGACAACCCTAAATAATCTTCATATAAATCGTCACACTGATGCGG